CGATGATAGTCGGTGAAATAAGGAGAGGCCTTCATATTTATCTCAACAAAATTAGAAAGAATGAAATACCAGAGATTGATAACAAAATAGAGAAGCTTGTGTCACAAAATATAGAAAGTAAACGGCGATGTGACGTTGATATACAATTTATGCAGAGACATCACGAGGAAATCATAACGAGGCTCGAAGAAATCAAGAAGAAACACGAACAAACTCTTAGAGACAGTCTGGAAGTGCAAAATGAACAAATAAATCGCGTGAAATCACAGTTAGAAATGAAGAAGAAACAACTTCTTGATCTGGTAAAATTCATGGAGGAGAGTAACGGTATCATGTCCGACTACAGCTTCGTTGAGAACCACAAAGAACTGACGGAACTGATGTCCGACTTGGATGTTGATATGAAGAGATGTGAACAGCGAAAGAGATTTAGAAGAGGAAAAATAAGTGATAAGCAACTGAAATGTATGGTTGGAAAGATTATTGATACAGATGAGGTCATTGCCAATGAAATAGGATCTTTCCAGTATGGACATAGCACTATTTTAATGTTGGAGTCATTCAGTGACGATGATATCTATATAAAATATTACCACTCTGATCATACCAAGCTAATCAATAAAAAGGTCAGCAGAAAAAAGAATTCAAGATAAAACCCAATGACTTATGTGTGAGTAGAAGCAGTGTATACTTTACAGATATTGATAACAGGTCCATCGCTCGCCTCTCCCCGTCAGGATCTGTTTCTGTTGTCCTTAGAACAGATCCGCTGTTACCAGGAGGAATATGTAGTCAAAGAAGTGGAGGTCTCCTGGTGACATTGAACGACAACACAACACAGTGGATGAATTCAGATTCAGACAGCAGGCGTTTGGTGAGACACGTTTCCCTCACTGTTTACACTATCCGAGAATACGAGTACACTTCTGACGGTAAAACAAAGCTGTTTACTCTACCAGTCAAAATCACACAGAATGGACATCTGTGTTGTTAACTGGACAAGCAGAACTAAAGGGAACCTTGTTATTTTGTCTTCTGCTGGACATCTCAGATCCATCTATAGTGGACAGAAATTGAGGTGGAATTTTTTACCTTTTGATGTGGCCTGCGATTCTCTCTGTTACATTCTTGTGTCCGACCGATACAACGAACGAATTCATCTATTGAGTCCCGACGGGGAAATTTTGAAGTATTTACTGACTGAAAATGAAGTTAATTTTCCCACCTCAATTTCTTTGTTCAAATCAAACCTTAGGGTGGGAAATGAAAATGGACTTGTAAAAGTTTTCGAGTACAATAATAGCGTAAAGTTAATTGATAGATATTGACTTATATTTTATTTGAACTGTATTACTTTTTTTAATGTTATTTATTTTGGATTTGAAATTTTCTAGAATTTCATTGGGTATATCATTTTCTGATTTTTAACACTTCTCAAGGGTATTGTACATTTCTTCTTGAAGTTCCTTTTTTACTGGTGTTCATATTGTCGCATTCTTGACCCTATTGTGAAGAAATTACCTATTGTTATATCGACGATGTTTTCTCAATAATAGTTTCTTAAATTCTGTATTGTATCGAAAAATATATAGAACTGTTTCCCAGTTAACTTCAAATAAAAGATACCAAAGATCTTAATATCTGTTTTGTATGTAGATCTCTACTGACTATATTGATGATGAGGCCCAACTCACAACTAAGTCGGATTAATAAACGTTTTGTATGTTATGAATTCAACTTTTTCTCCGAAAACTTTTTTCGTAGCCCGCGTGGCGCATTGTTTAGAGAATCTGCTATAGAGTCGCGAAGTAAGCAGTCAATCCTTACATCGCGGGTTCGAATTCCACTGTGGGACGTGGAGAACGGTACTTCAGATGAGATCGTATTATCACCGTGTGAAAATGACCGTTTTACATATAATTCATTTTGGACTCTAAATGTTATATTTAATTTTTATTTTTTATATTCTAAAATTATTTTATCTTAAAGTTTGTATTTTGACAAATATTTCTCATGTGCAATTTCTTATTCTTTACTTAATTACTAAGTGACACTTGTTGGACACCAAAGGGGCAGAGTGTTTATGCCCAAGGACCTTTTAATCACTTAAACAAACATTATGCAATTATTTAATTATCGGCCTTCTTTTTGTCCATGTCATCAAAGCATTTAATTATTTGATCATCGTATCACTTTAACTCATTGTCAACACCTATCATTTTTAACTCATTGTTCATTTTCCCATAAATACCATTGTCAAATTTTACTTATCAGTTCGGAGGCCAGGTGTACTAACGGCCACACGTCCGACTCGTTCCCCTACCATCATGTTTTAACTATTTTAACATTTAACAGTTTGGAGGCTATGGCCATATCCAACTGGTGACTGTCTATTGTTGTATCATGTAGCCATTTCCATCGTTGGGACTTATTGTTAATAAATTCGGAAACTTTACTTATTCCTCGTCATTTGGACTTTTATATGTGTCAACGGGAAGAGTCCTTGGAATACGGCTCTTCTACTTCCGGCCAACGACGCCACTCACTTCCCTGCCAACATTCCCTCTTGCCCGATCAAAGACACATCTTTTAGACCCAAACTACGCGGTCATAAATGGTGGATGAATCCTAAGGGTTTACCAACGCCCGGGGCCATTGCATATATTTTGCAGTGGTCAGATCCCAGACCTCTCCAGCTAGCGAGTTCCCCAGTGATATGTTCGACCAATCAACCCAACATGCTCAACGATGGAAAACAACTTTGCTGCAACAGCCATGGACAACAAGACAAAATTTATCGTATCTTATACCTGATGCCAAACCCGATGACTTTTCCAGACCAAGATTCCAAGACTTTTTATCCAATTCTTAACATTTTTTTCTACGTTTATTAAGAACTTGTTTCGAAAATATTCCACTGCCGTGTGTTCATATGTGAAGTGATTTTTCTTTCCATTCCAAACACGAGGACGTGTTTTTCCCGGAGCGGTGGGAAATTATCACCGTGTGAAAATGACTGTTTTACATATAATTCATTTTGGACTCTAAATGTTATATTTAATTTTTATTTTTTATATTCTAAAATTATTTTATCTTAAAGTTTGTATTTTGACAAATATTTCTCATGTGCAATTTCTTATTCTTTACTTAATTACTAAGTGACACTTGTTGGACACCAAAGGGGCAGAGTGTTTATGCCCAAGGACCTTTTAATCACTTAAACAAACATTATGCAATTATTTAATTATCGGCCTTCTTTTTGTCCATGTCATCAAAGCATTTAATTATTTGATCATCGTATCACTTTAACTCATTGTCAACACCTGTCATTTTTAACTCATTGTTCATTTTCCCATAAATACCATTGTCAAATTTTACTTATCAGTTCGGAGGCCAGGTGTACTAACGGCCACACGTCCGACTCGTTCCCCTACCATCATGTTTTAACTATTTTAACATTTAACAGTTTGGAGGGTACGGCCATATCCAACTGGTGACTGTCTATTGTTGTATCATGTAGCCATTTCCATCGTTGGGACTTATTGTTAATAAATTCGGAAACTTTACTTATTCCTCGTCATTTGGACTTTTATATGTGTCAACGGGAAGAGTCCTTGGAATACGGCTCTTCTACTTCCGGCCAACGACGCCACTCACTTCCCTGCCAACATTCCCTCTTGCCCGATCAAAGACACATCTTTTAGACCCAAACTACGCGGTCATAGTATTAACCGAGGTCTCGTGTCGCAGTAGGTGCTGGCAGCCAAAAGATCTAAATCTGCTCAATGGCCCATGTCACATAGGACAAAATTTGCAAGTCTCCACCGGAAATTTCAACAGCTGCTGTATTCCTCATTGTAAACACTTTATATGTAGTTTTCGGATACCAAGTCTTTCAATAAACTGTTGGAATTCGAATGGGCCCTAATTGTACTCCTATATATTAGCTTTTCTGTTATAATATTCCTATAAAGCAGATTACAAGTTCTCTGAAGTTGACATAAAAAAGATGCTTGAGTTTCTGATTGACAATATCTATGTTGTATTTGGAGATGTCTTCCAACAATCTTTTAGAATTATAATGGGTACCAATTGCACCCCTTTATTGGCAGACCTATCTCATACGTGCAAACACTTGTTGTGGCCTTCAACTCGACATTGAGATTTATCGAAGACGTATTTTCAATTAACGATGGTAATATTCATTCTTATGTCGATACAATATATCTTGGTGAGCCTTTTAAAGTAATTGTTAGTCCATTATTTATACATTGAATCGACTGATTTTTCCGTTATCTCTCGATTATGACAAGGAGCACACAGCGGGTGTGACCGGTCAGCAGGGAATGTTTACTCCTCCATGGAACCTGACCAAACCTCTGTTATTTTGGAGGTCCGTACTTAATCTGTTACTATTTATTATTGTTTTTTGGATTTTTGATCTGGAATGCCGTTCGTTATCTTCATATGTTTCATTTGTTCTTTGGACTTTTGCATCAACCATTATTCACCTTATAAACCTAGTGGAGATGTCCCTTTGTATCTTCGTCGTTTGTGTCAGATAGACATTGTTTTTATTAAACATGGGATGGTAATAACTGTAGATCAGAACAACAACAAAGTTTATACGAGTACATGTATTGGCTCTCATTTGACTTAGAAGATAACATCTTAGTTTCTAAAAGATCATCTAAACTTAAACAGGTTAAACATAGATTCGGTGAGAGTAGAGACATTGACCCATCAGATAGTGATATGACCGATTATTATAACTTTGTAGTTCATACAGCCGGAGAGAGGATATTTTTGTCAGGTTTAGGTAAAGAATACTCTGTTTACCAGGCATCTTAGAATTTGGTACTTTACTAGTTATAATCATGTAAAAGGAATCATGAAATAAGAATTAATTTGATATCAAATAAAATTACAATCATATGATATTTTATTCTTCAAAAGGGCAATTAAGGTCACTATAACAGACTAGAGTTGACCATGATGATTATAGTATCTGTAAAATAGCAACTAAATAATCGCAATGGCAATACTATTTTGTTAAAATAAAAAAAATGATTATACATGTATCAATTAGTAAAATTAATAAATTCTAGTAATTAGTTATATCGTACACATAAAACAAAACTTACCTGCAAGGAAGAAGTACTGATCATAAGTTTTTCTGTTACGTTCGTTTTCTTTTACTTAAAAAATAATTAGTAAGGAAAGAGACGGGGATTCTCATACAATTTTTACAGTTGATCTCTTTATATCATATTCAAAGTACGAAATTTGATATCTAAAAAAAAAAAAACAACATTATTTGCTTTCATCAACATTAAAAACGTCTTCCTTATTGATTTTACAATAACGTAAAAAATAAAACGTGTACATTTGATGTGCTCATTTGTGGCCAGGATTTGTTATACATGTCTCTTGATTCCGCAATACTTTATTTTAGTGATGTTTTTTAAAGTCAATTTATTGATATTCCTACACAGTCTTTCCAGTATTTCAGGAAAATTAAGTTTAATCAGAATCTATGAGAGAGAGAGAGAGAGAGAGAGAGAGAGAGAGAGAGAGAGAGAGCAGTGTAATTTTTTTCATGAATGATTTATGGAAAGAAGGCGTCTGCTCCTGTTTATTGGGATTTTCTAACAACCTCATTCGTGTTTCAAATCTATATTATTGATTTTCATTCGCAATTCTGAAAAAGAATTAAGAGTTTTTTCTAAGCTATACAAACAAATTACTGAATCGTATCGCCGACTATCTTCATAAGAATATATGGCAATTCAATACAAGTGGTAATGGCGACCAACGCACCCGAATCTGCTATAGGGACTCCTCAAGAACACATTCCAACTTGTGACAAACATAGCAAACGAATTGATATATTATGCGAGGATTGTGATGAATTTATTTGTTCCAAGTGTGTGAAAACTGAGCATAAGGATCATAACTGGGACACACTAGCTAACGTAGCTAGCCAGAGAAGGGAAGATCTCTTAACGTACCTTACAGAGATAAAGGACGAAGACATACCGAAGTTTGAGGAGAAAAAGGAAAAAATATTAACGCAGGAAAAGTATAATAAAATTCAGTTTGATAAAAATTTCAGAGTTTTACAGAAGCATTTTGAAAATGTGATTTGCAGGCTAACAGAAATGAAGAAAAGCAATGAAAAAACCCTGAAAAACAAATTAAGCAAAACAAACGAACAAATAATATCTCTGAAATCTCAGATGGACAAGAAAAAATCCCAGCTTGTTGACACCATGGAATTCATTGAGAACAACAGCAGAAATATGTCAGATTTCCACCTGATCGACAACTTGAAAATTCTGAAACAGTTACTGTCTGATATTAAAGGCATTAAAGATCCTTTAGAATACGATGGTGGAAAATTGTTTGATGATTTGCATCAAACTTGGTCAATTGATGCCATTGCTGATGAAGTAGGATTTCTTCAAAACGGAGAAAATCCAATACGTACACTTGAGGTTTGTGGTGGCGACACTTGCTTTATCCAGTCTTTTTCATCAAACTCTTTAAATCAAATTAACATAAAAGGGAGGAATAAACAAGAATTCATGATAAATCTTTGTGATATATGTGTCTGTACGAATGGTGAAGTGTTTTTTACTGTTAATGAGAACTATCCTACCTGGGGTATTTACCAACTATTTCCTTCTGGATCTGTCTCTGTGAGTCGGTGGATGGTGGTCTTCTGGTCGCCTTGTTACACTATTCTCGTTCCCTGCAGCCTTCTGCAAGTCTCATAAGACATATGACCCATACAGGTGACGTCAAAAGTTTGATAGGTTTTTATGAATCTTGTATGGAGATATTTTTTAGCTTCCCGAGACGCATTACTCAGAATGGTAACAGTGACGTATGTGTTGTAGACTGGGTTAGTAATTCTATGACGATTTTGTCTGCATCTGGTCAAAAAAAAAAGTGTGTATATCGTGGATGTAACTTGACTGAAAACCACCCGAAGGAGAACTTTGATCCATATGACGTGGCATGTGACGCCTATTGTAACATCCTTGTTACCGACGCAAAAAATCATCGCATCCATTTACTGAGTCCTTCTGGGAGATTCTTGAAGTTATTGCTGACAGGGAGTAAAGTGCAATTCCCAACCGCGTTAACACTGAATAAATCCAAATTGTGGGTGGGAAACACAAAGGGAGTTGTCAAAGTCTTCAGATATAAACATATGTTTAATCTTCACATTTAAACATACTTGTAGATAAGTTTTATCAACTGTCAATGTGTCCAGTTCCTTGTTTGTACATGCAAAGATTTTTTGAATATTTTAATTTTACTTTTAGATGATTTTGTTACAAAAGTAAGAATTACTAAACATTGGGAACCCCGATCCTTCAACTGGCGTCAGATTTTCATAAATACTATAGAATCCGTTGAAGATTACGTAAGGCGATGGGCTAAATTTAAAAAAGAAGACATTGACACTTTGTCAAAGTGGATAACATGTATCAGATCCATGATAAAATCGCGTATTGAAATATTGAGGGGCAATATGAAAACCATTTATCCTTCTGTATTCAATTATACATAAGTGAAAAAAGACCTAGATGTACTGTGAGCAATGAGCTCACTAAATGATACCCCGCCTCCCTTATGAATATAATGGGAGTGTCCATGTTTTGCTGTGTGAAACCAAAAATATGTGTCAGATCAAAAGGTAAGATAGGAGGTGCACAACGGCAATATGTAATAAAGATTCTGTGAAAGCTTAATCAAATTTCATTCAGTGGTATGAGAGGAGTTGCGGATAAGAGATGGGTACCCCAAAGCGTACCAGACAGACGGACGGACAGACAGACGACCGGACGTACAGACAGGCGGAAGGACATACCGATTACTATATACCCTCCCGCTTTTCAAGCGGGTATATAACTAGATAAGTTACATGATCAGTACGTATTGTTACCTGCTGACAAAGCATGTCACAACATTGTCTCCGTTTGTAAGGCTCGTTATATAAGTTGTATTTTAGAAGAACTTGGATTTAATTCTACAGGTGGTAATCCAACTTATACTCAAAGTTCCCTTTCTAAGGAGGAAATTCTTCAAAATCATATGTCAGTTTTGAATATTTTTAATATCCCAAAGAACCAAAACGAATTTGAACTACCATATCTATAAAGGATTCCGAAACTTCCTAAGAATCCTTACAAACAAAGATACATAGAGGGTTTCAGTAAAAGTTCAACCAAGTTTTTTTCTTTACTCCTCACTAAGATATTTGAAATCACAAGATCTTACCAAAATTAACAGCAGCAGCTTAAAAACTTCCACAGTTTTTTTTTCAATAAAAAGGAACTTGTAAATTTACTTACCTTGTCATTGGCCACTTTGTTATTTTGTTAAAAAATATTCTGACTGTGCATAAAAGTACTCTGAAGTTGATATAGAAAAGATGTCTTGAGTTATTGATTGACAATAATTATGTATGTTGTTTTTGGAAATCAGGCCTACCAACAATCTATTAGAATTCTTATGGATAACAATTGCACTCCGTTATTAGCAGACCTATTTTTGTATTCATGATCATATGAAGCAGAATGTACCCAAAAGCTTATACATTAAAAGAAGAGAACACTTGCTCTGACTTTCAACTCGACATCTAGATATATCGACGACATTTTGTAAATAATCAATAGGTTTTTTCCATACTTATACCGGTATTGATGCGAAATATCCCGGTGAGTCTGACAAATCTGTTTCATATTTGGATATTTTACAAGAAAAAGACGTTAATGTGAATTTAACAACAAAGCTTTATGATAAAAGTGATGACTTAAATTTTCAATCGTCAACTTCCCTTACTAATACCTTTGTCACCTGCATTCGGGGTTTATATATTTCCATCTCTTGCACTCTCCATTTTAAAGACTCCACCCTCTGCATTTTACACAAACCCTAAGTTGACTTTTTACTGCCAGGAGACAGGGTCATGCTTTCGTATGAAAAAAAATTTCAAAAACCAAGAAAGTTTAATTGACAAACAAGTTGATGATACATGAATATCAGCAATCTCGTTTAAAGTAATTGTTTTGAGGTGTGTTGTATTTGCATTGTTTCATCTGGTATATTATTAGAAACATTAAGTTTCTTGAATATTCCAGAGTGGTCAACATGTTTGGTCATTTGATCTAAAACATTCTTAAATTCTGTGTATGTCCAGATTGTTCCAGTAATATCATGATGTAACAATTTCTAGAATATTCTAGATTTATAATATTGTATAAATACCCTGTCAATTCGATGCATAATATACTTTTGTCGTATAAGCACTATTGAGACTATGAGAAGATCAAAACAGCAATACTAAAAGCATATGAATTAGTACCTGGAGCATATAGACAAAAATTTAGAAAGTATAGGAAGTTTGATAATCAAACATTTGTTGAATTTTCACGAGAGAAAGAAGATTTATTCGATCACTGGTTTAGATCTAAGAAACTTGATAAAACTTTTGCTAATTTGCGCCAAGTCATCCTGGTAGAAGAGTTTAAGGAATGTGTTCCTCAAGATTTGAAAACACATCTAGAAGATAAGAATGTGAAAACTCTTGAAGAGGCAGCAGTCATATCTGATACTTATGCTCTGTCTCATAAAAAGAATTTTGTATCAAGATCTCAGACAAGGAGTAATTCTACCAATTCAGACACATATAAAAAGAGTGGTTCAGGGTCTCAGTCTTCCACAAGTCTCCAGTTTCCATCACAAGGTGGTTTTAAGTCCGGTCCAGGACGTGTTGAAGGATCGTCTGGAATAGGGTCGCGTGCTATTTTTAGTTATTGTAAGAAAAAGGGTCATCTGATCAGTGAATGCTTTAAACTTAAGAGAAAAAATGATTTTGATAAAACTCAACCACACGCTTGTGCGGCAGTTAGAGGTGATAGAGAAGACTTAGTTTCGATTTGTTCTGACACTCCTGATGTCCAGGGTTCACAGTCCAGTTCTATTGATTCTATGGAGGATTATAAGCCCTTTATGTCTCAGGGATTTGTTTCACTCGATGACTCTAGCGAAATAAAACCTGTCCAGATTTTGAGAGATACTGGTGCTGCACAGACGTTATTGTTAGAGGGCGTGCTTCCTTTGTCTGAGCAGACTTCTACTGGTGGGTCAGTTTTATTACAGGGTGTGGAGCTAGGCGTCATTGATGTTCCCCTGCATAGAATTAGTTTGAAGTCAGATTTAGTTACTGGACCTGTTATTGTAGGTGTTCGACCTACTCTTCCCGTTCCAGGCATTTCTTTGTTGTTAGGCAACGATTTAGCTGGTGGGAAGGTTGTACCTGATCCTATAGTTTGTGAGAAAATCACTTCCAATGTCATGTGCGATGATGAAGATGATGACATTTATCCAGCCTGTGCTGTTACTAGAGCGATGTCCAGAAGACGAGAAATGGAGGCAGACCATACTCAAGCCTTTGACGAGATGAATTCCTCTACTGATATTGATTTGAATGACACTTTCTTATCTGACCTTGATGGCACTCAAACAAGCATGGAACCACAAAATATCAAGATGTCGGTGACGAATGAACCTTTACCAAAATTCAGTGGAGATGAAGATGAGTCAAATCTACCAGAAAGCCAAGACAAGGATATCATAAGCCGAGAGCAGTTACTTTCAGCACAACATAAAGACCCAGATATCATCCAACTAAGTAAGAGGGCACTACCACCAGAAGAGGCCACTAAAGTTGGAGAATGCTTCTATATGAAAGATGGCATCCTTATGCGAAAATGGCGACCACCTGACGCTTCCTCAGATGAAGTGTGGCGTGTTGTTCACCAGATAGTGGTCCCAGCTGCTTATCGTCGAGATGTCATGAGTTTAGCTCACGATACACCTATGGCAGGTCATTTAGGTGTCAATAAGACTTATAATAGGATTTTGAGTCATTTTTATTGGCCTAAGCTAAGAAAGGATGTTTCGAAGTTTTGCAAGTCATGCCATGTCTGTCAGATGGTAGGTAAACCAAATCAGAAGATACCATCTGCTCCTCTCCAACCCATTCCAGCTTTTGCAGAACCCTTTAGTCGAGTGTTGGTGGATTGTGTAGGACCTTTGCCTAGGACTAGATATGGGAACCAGTATTTACTTACCATTATGTGTACATCCACTCGATTTCCTGAAGCCATACCTCTAAGGAATATAAAGGCAAAGAGCATAGTTAAGGCCCTAACCAAGTTTTTCAGTTTTGTAGGAGCATCTAAGGCAATTCAGTCGGATCAAGGGTCAAATTTTATGTCGGGGTTGTTCCAGCAAGTCATGCATGAGTTGGGTATAAGGCAATATAGATCAATTGCTTATCATCCTGAGTCCCAGGGAGCGCTAGAACGTTTTCATCAAACCCTAAAAACAATGTTGAAGACCTATTGTTACCAGTATGAAAAAGAATGGGACGAAGGGGTTCATCTTGTACTATTTGCTGCACGAGAAGCAGTCCAGGAGTCTCTTGGGTTCAGTCCTTTTGAATTGGTGTTCGGTCATACAGTTAGAGGTCCTTTGAAATTGTTGAAGGAAAAGTGGCTGACTGAGACTAGTGATCTTAATCTTTTAGATTATGTGTCTGATTTCAAAGAAAAACTTTACAATGCTTGTAAATTAGCACAAGAAAATTTGAAGAGTTCTCAGATGAAAATGAAAATGTGGTATGACAAAGATGCCAGAAATAGGGTGTTTAAGCCAGGTGATAAGGTTCTTGTATTTTTACCTATTCCTGGTCATCCTTTAAAGGCCAGATTTTATGGCCCTTAAGAAATTGAAAGCAAGATCAGTGATGTAAACTATGCAGTTAAGACACCAGGTCGACGTAAAGAGAAACGGGTTTGTCA